CTACCTCTGTTGATTCTTTCGATGTTAATGGCTCAGCCTCTTTGTATCGACTAGCCACATCCACTACCGTTAAAGCGTATTTATACGTTTTGCGTTTTACCTTATCGTGGGGAAGAAACAAGAGGTCAGCCTGATGAACTTCATTCGTCGTAAAAATATCAAACTTCTTCCTCGGTATATAACGCGGTGCCGGTAAATATATTTGCCACATCGCTTGTTTCTTTAACCAATCCTTGGCCACATCTTTAGATACCTTAGCCGCGGTGGCTAATTTTTTTATTGCTCCTACACCTTTCCAATATCCTCGTGGGCTATAGTAAATTTTATCCATTATTAATTAATATTGATATTTCTTTTAAAACGACTTTCGTTGAATCGCATCATCATTTTTATACTAATAGAAGCAATGATTGGCCCCAAGTATTGGTGAGCTAGAGCCAATCTCATGACTATCATTAAATCACATAATCATTTTGGCATAAAAAATTCCATCTGTAGTGATGGTATAGGTATATAAATTCAGCTCCAGTGGAAGTGGTCCAGAACCATCATTACCTATACTACTTATGGTTAGCGACCGCCTTTATACAACGAGGGGGAAAATTCGTCTGCTCTAACTGCCTTCACAAAAACATTCCAGCCCTTAATTACCGAGGCAGCTGTGACGTAGTAGCATTACATTCGCTGCGTTTACAGCATATAAGATGTGTAATCTGTGGAGTGACTAAAGTAATATTACGGCTGAAATCTTACTTGCATGGTTGTTTTAATAGAAAACTTACGGTTTAAAAACACAGTTGTTCTTATATAATGTTTTTAGGTTTGGTTTATAAATACAAGAGAAGATTTTCTATACATATAAAACTGGTCGAAAATACAGCTGAACAATAGAAAAATAAAAATAGGAGTTGTGAATAGTGACAAATTTTAATTATATCACCGTGTCAATAATTATTGATTGATTCCGTCAAACAACTGTCAAACCATTTATTGCCATGTACGTACATGTACACAGGAAGTCGGCGCTGTCGGAGGCTCCAGGTAAATAAACATCATGGTTTTATGACGGGAGATCAGACGAACCGTGAACCAGGGGCATGCGACGTAATTACACCTAAAGGTGGTAGAACCAGGGTATTGTCTCTTGGACTGGCTAATTGACCGTACGTATAATTGGTAAATATATTCGTTTTGACACCCGTGTTTCATGCGCATCCCGGCTCATAAGCAGAATACAGACAAATGAGGCCCCGTGATCAGCGGAGCGTGAACAACATGGATGCCGCCTTTCGGCCGTACCGAACAGTCAAGCTGCGATCTCGGAACTGAATCCAATTGCAAGCGAGACAAGATTACTTCCCTTACCCAAACATGATCGTTGCTCAGAAATGTTCAAATCTATCTTCAGTAAATCATGAAATTAATGCGAGCATGACATTTATGCGAAAAATGCGATCGTAAGTCCCCCTACAGACCATATATTATATGGTCTCTGGTCCCTCTGATTATTTTAATATGTTTCATTTCATCATGATAAAAAAGTTAGTCACTTATAAGGTTACCACGTTGAAAATAGAAACGATCGTTAACAAAAACAACAAAATGTATTCTCTCATCACTCAGCCTAACAGTGATATAACTGCAAATTAAACAATCAAGTACGCTAAAGTATTACACATGGTGGGTGGAGGTCCAGGGGCACTTTGAGTTTGACAGGTGTCATCAACTGGTCAAGTAACATCACGGTTTGTATATTCACGTTGATTGGACAGTCTAGACTGGCGCCAACTAATCATGACGGCGTCTTCAGAACAGAACAGAACTTTATTTCTCCCAGGTTTAGGCTTACGTGGATAACAGAAAATTTTGTTTAAGTGATAGCACATTTGTAATTCAATCTAATATACTTTCCTTGATTGATTATATGGCTGCGGTCGTAGATCCGGATGTATCTAAATATGCTCAGTATATACACAGGGTTTATTGTTATACTTTTAGGATTAATAGATACAATTGAGTATTTATACCCTTGATCATAAAGTTAGTCACTACTTTCACACTTTGATTTGTATGATTTGGATTATGATTAAATTGACAAAATAAGAAATCATTCCGTGTATATGTGTATTATATATTGTACCCCAATACGTAATTAAATTGTGTATAAATAAGGACAGTAGGTTAATTACTGTAATTGATTATTTGATAAACATATTCACATTTAGTTGTGTGGTATGTCACATAGGTAAAGCTAATTCATAACAACTAATTGTCCCATTTATTTGGTTTCTATCTTTTATATGAAACAAATGCTATAACATGGGGTGATAAACTTCATTGGCAATAGACGTAGCATATAATTGTCCACATGAACAGTCTACTCTGTTCCAGATATGTTTATTCATTTTGTCAGCATTTAAATCGTTGCATTCCTGGCTAGATGATTCATTTGACGAAATCTTGTTCCCTGTTTTGAATTACCGTCAGATGGTTCCAGAACAATTATAAAATGTTCAGCCCTATGTGTTGGGCATAATTTCGAGATAATTCCAAGTTCATATTCTTGTACGAACACTTATCAAAATTCATTTATACCTAGTACTATTATGTACATATGTATATTAGTTCAAATTATAATAATGAGGCCCTCTATATTCTCGAAACGTTCTTTGTTCTACGACAACCGTAAGGCGGTATGGGAAAACAAAATATTTGTTTAATTGTTAAAAGTTCAAAGTCAATGTCATATGATTATAGACAAGGAAGATAAGAAATTAAATATAAAGAGTAGCCACTTTAAATGACAGAATTTCTTTTAGTTAAATTTGCTCATGATTTGGTTTTTTCGTGGTACATAGTGCCAAAATACTCTTAATTATTTACTTTCACGTCATTACTAATCTCACATAAGGTCAAAAGTTGTACAACTTTTAACAGATATGATTATGACGTGTTGTATCCAAACATTTCCAAACATTTCCAAACAAATCCAAACAAATCCAAGCTTGGAAATATGACCTTTCCAAATATTGGAATGGTCATATTTCCAATTGGAATGGTGGTATTTCCAAGTTTTGGATTTTTTTGAATGGATGATATTTTGTCCAGTGTTAAGAAGGGGGGTCGTCTTATACACGGAGTCTAAGATCTCACGTTTTTTTCCAGGTGTATTACTTTCAGCTTCCACTGGCGATGTCATCCGGCGTTCGATAGCCAACCCAGCATTTGACAATTAAACTTCGCATTTCGTCCTAAATCAATCTCATTAAAATCAGATCTTAGTTCTCGCTACTAGGGTCTGATTTTAATGAGATTGGTCCTAAATAACTGTTCAAATAACTATTTCCATACATAAACATGATTTGTATCTGTTTTCCTTGAATAAAGTTGAATATTTTCTGCAAATAAAGTTGAAATGACCCTCGCCTTGATCCAGATTGTCAAGCCAGCTGACACGGTAAAACAATCAACATTCGTGAGTAGAGAGCTGGAAGTACCGGTAAGCATTTGCATATTTCACACGTGACCTAACATGTGATAACCGGTGAAGCTGAAATCAATTCCCCTTGTTTTTACAGTTGTATTAACAACTGTTGGAGACGCTGTGTATAAGTGAATGTTGAATAAACACGCTGAAAGTGAAGCAAACATAAGCCAAGTTAGATACAACATAGTTAATTGGCGATTAAATTACTCCCATTGTCTCACCAAAGATCAAACCCATTGTTTCTTTTCATAGTCGGAGAGAAGCCGAGTAGTATAGGTAATGGTGATTCTGGCTCACTTCCACTGGAGTCAGATTTATATGCCTATACTGCTACTAGAGATGGAATTTTTTATGCAAAAATGAAGATGCGATTCAACAATCATCATGAGATTAAACTAAATTGTAATGAAAATGGCTCCAGCTCACCACCATTTGGAGCCATTTTCAAACCTTTCAATGCTTCTATGATATAAATTTTTATAGGTAATGGTGATTCTGGCTCACTTCAACTGGAGCCAGATTTATATACCTATACCACCACTACAGGGGGAATTTTTTATACAAAAATGATGATGCGATTCAACGATCGTCATGAGATTAAACTAAATTGTAATGAAAATATTCTCTATTATTTTTACTAATACGTATACCATTATTTTTAACAAAGTGATATTCAACATTTTTGCTAAGTTCTTCGTTCATTTTACTAGGAGACCAGACTATATACTCTTCTTGGTAATTGGAATGAAACAATTGATGACCGTATTTGGTTGGTTTGATATCACTGATATAATATATACCTTGTGGTAATTCTCTCCATTTGATAATTTTGTCACTGAGCATAAATTCCATTATTATATATTTATGTAAGCATTCTTCTAAAAGTTGGTTTTGGCACGGAATAATTGACGCGCTTGTTGTCTCCCCTGTTCTATGAGCTTTTTTCCCTCGTCTTTGCTACTAAACCACTGGTCTTTGATCGAATCTCCTGCTTCATTTCGTTGTATTTGGTGAGTTCTGACAACACTAAACGAAACTCCTCCTCGGATATCTTACAATCGGCCATTGCTGTTGAAATATGATCCTAAATGCTGTTCAACTTTGCTTTGTCGAGTATCCGAATATTATCATGTTTTAATGCTTTCTTTTGCAACTTACGAGAAATGAATTTTATCGCTATTCCTGCCAGTCCTGAGACTCCTGCGGCTATTTGCATACCAAGTACGATAGGCGCGGCGATTATAGTTGATAATAAACCAACACCGGCTACACCGAGTCCCATGCCAGCTGTTACAAGCGCGGTGTCAACTCGGTCGAGAGCATTCACGGCTCTGCGATACTTTTTATACAATCCAAGTCTCAACTCCCTCTCCTTCTCTATTCGATGTTTTATGTCGCTTATTTGATGTAATCGAAATCCATCAACTTCATCGAGCGCCGGATATAAATCCATAGTGTATATTATTATTATTATTATTATATCATATATTTATAACGACAACCAAACACAAAGTAGTTTCAAACATTTATTATGATAAAATACAAAATTATAAATTTGGCGTATGGGGAATTCTCAGGTTTGATTACGGGTGCCCATGATTGAGCATCAATCATGCCAAGCATTGGAAACGATTTGGCCATTTGCAAATAATAACATGACATGGCCAAATCGTTGGCACTAAGTGTGTACATGATCGAGCATCGGTCATGCCCAAGCATTGTGATCAAACGCTGGCTATAGTTCTGAGCCTCAGAGCACAGCGAGTGACTACACAGAACGGTACAAAATGGTGCAATAAATGAGCATACAAGTAGCCTACAAGTTGGATGTGGATTATTGAACTTTAGGGGGAACTATCCCAGCAATTTGAGGAGGATAGTAAGGCCACAATTCGAGCCAGATGTGGATAAAATAAAATACCATGATACAGCTGGCTGAGAATACCCCATAAAGAAAATAATACCTAGTAATGGCATATAGGATTATTACGCCTGAACGACATTGGACTTGGACTATAACGCCAAGGCTTACTCTGAAGGAGTTACACCATTGAGAGGCTGCACAGGAAGATTGACAAGGTCAGACAAAGTAAGAGTCAACCATAAGATTAGTGCACTATCACTACAGGTTCTACTACACCAAATCAGAACCAGTTTGGACAGTGCGGTTTTCGTAGGGAGCCTTCAGTGTAGATCGAGAGATATCTGCAGGCTGTGATTGGAGCATATTCTGTAAGATTTTTATGTCTTTCAAATGTACATCCATCCAGTTATTAAAACTGACCATGTTTTTCTATATTTAGTACTGTCTTTTTCAACATGATGACTTATGCTGAATGTGACCACAGCTATTTTCAAGTAGGTGACATTTGGTGCGAAACTGGGGGTGGTGTGTTTAGCTTCCGGTACTCGGAAAAGGAGCTGACTAAGCTAGTCATTTTTATTTTTTTTATTGCTGCTCTAAGGCCAAACTGTGCACACACATACAGGTAATAGCTGTTGAATGCTTAGTTATTTTAAAAAAAATCATAACGTTACTATAGAAGTCTATGGGAAAACATTTGGTTGTGTGTAACCTGAAGCAAAGAATTTGCATAGAAACTGCTACAAAGAGTATATACACAATGTAATAGCCAAGGATAAACGGGCTGCTGAGCATGCTAAGTATGAGCAGTATTTCGCTGAGCTGCCGCTATGGAGCCCTTATCGACTCTGATATACCGAGCGTAGCAGTCTGATTTCCAGCGTCCTAAGGCTTGTATCATATGGTCTGGTACATGAGCTGCAGCTGCAGCAGTGGCCGCTCCGATTCTAAAAGAATGTCCGTTGAATTTCTTGTAGCCGTATCCTGCTGCCACCAGAGTTTGATGTAGTTTATGAATAAAATGGTGAGGAACAATGGGTCCGAGGCACGTGCCTGAGACTGATTGCGCAGGTTAACATAGTTTTTCATTGCCTGAACGGGGCAAGTTGGTCCGGGCACTGCATGTACAGTAATTGTCACACCTTTCCCTAGCTGATCAGTCTTTGATTGCTTGAGAAACAGATCAAAGCAGGTGTATTCCTCGTTGAAGGTAATCGAATTCATGGATAAATTTTTTTGATACACATATTTGGCACAAGTGAATTCATCACATCTCAAAAAGGCATAGAAGGCTAGACTAAATACAGCCTGCAATAACATGTTAGTATAATGATTGAACAAACGCTTGTCCAATTGGTAACACAAATTGCACAACACATGAATAGTTATAGGTAAACGCTCTGCTGCCGGCACGCTCTGTATCCGTTGAATTGCTTTCATGATGGTCTCTAGCCTAAGAGTGTTACATACTGACCATGGATTCTCAATTCCATGTCTTAGATAAGCAAACCTCACAGCAGCGAGATAGCTCCTGATTGTTGTACACTTATAATGTAGTTTGTAGAAGCAGTGTGCTACAAAGCACAAGAGGGTTTGTTCTGTGATAGGAGGCAAAGCAGCAGGCCACCAGCGTACACTACACATGGCCATGTAGTTCAGGAAATTATGAAGTCCTGATTTATAAACCGCCTGCGTTTTCGTTGAGAGTGCTTGTGACCAGAGTTTGTTGAGATCTGAGCAGGTGGAATGGTGATTGCTGTGATTGGAAGAAATGGGGTAGGCACACTGTCTGCCTTGGGAGCTAGCTCCTTGAATCTGTCCATCTGTAATCGAGATAAAGAATCAGCTATGCAGTTATCTTTACCTGGTACGTGAGCAGCAACAAAATGGAAGTTACCACAAACAGCGGTCAGTACGAGCTTTCTGACCAGTCTCATGATGAAAGGTGATTTTGATCTACACTTATTGATGATCTCTACGGTGCTACTGTTATCACAATGGAATTTAATGTTTTTCCTTGACCAGTAATTTCCCCAAATTGCAGCAGCCATGACAATTGGATACAGTTCAAGTAGTGCTATTGACAGGTCACCATTCAGGATATCGAGCAAGTCTGTTGGCCACTGCTGTGCGAACCATTTACCCTGATAATAAGCACCATAACCGATGGATGCTGCTGCATCTGTGTAGAGTTCTATCTCTGGTGCTGCGATCTCGTCCTCGTAGAAGAATGATATGCCATTCCAGTCTGTTAAAAATGAACGCCACATCGAGAAGTCTAGTTTGCACTCCTGGGTAATATTGACATGGTGATGTAGCTGGGGGACAGAATGTGCCAGCTTGAGCAGGTAGCTAACAAAGGCTCTACCTGGTTTAATTACCTGCATTGCAAAATTTAAATGTCCTAACACACTCAACAGTTGTCGTTTGGTGACCTTCCTTCTCTCTTGGACTGAATCGACGACAGCAAAGATTCTAGCTACTTTATCAGCTGGGAGTCACGCTTCCATCTTGTCAGTGTCCAGGATGATACCAAGGTACTCTAAACATGTCGTAGGGCCAATTGTTTTCCTTGGTGACAAAGGAATCTTGAGATCGTTGAAGAGATGTCGCAATTTGCTCATGGTTGCATTGCCCTCGTTCTTATTTGCGTCAATTGTGAGAAAATCATCAAGTAGATGAAGAATATGAGGAATGTGGTACACGTAGGTTGCGATCCAACAGATGGCTTGAGATAACAGGTCAAAAATTTTAGGGCTGGATCTGGATCCAAAAACCAGTCTGGTAAAGTAGTACAAGCAATTGTCCCAATGGATACCATGTAGATGCCAGAGAGAGTGATGTATGGGTATCAGTTTGAAAGCATCCACAATATCAGCTTTGCACAGATAGGCGTGTCGTCCAAGATGTTTGATGATTTGTATGGCGTCATCCAGCTTGACATACACCAGGGGGTACTGTTCTTTGTCGATGAGGGAGTTTAGACTGGGATTGTCATGGTCGTTATGCGGTGCTGATAAATCAACAATCATGCGTTGTTTCCGAGAATACTTGCCTTCCACGGTCCCTATGGGATTGATGCGATGATAGGGAAACGGGGACTCTGTGAACGGACCAATAAGGTAACCCTTATTTAGCTCCGTTTGTAATAAGTTATTAGTGGCATTTGGATCCTTATTGGCAGAGATGAGATTCTTGCAGAATTTTGATTGAGCAGGAGGGTTTTGAATACCCGTAAAGAATCCGTTTGTCATCCCTGCTATTAGTCTTGTCACAAAGTCATTGTCTGGATGGTTGAGCAGGTTGGCAGATAGGCGATGGACGGAAACCGGGGAGGGAGTTGCACCTAGTCAGTTCTTCTTTGAAGATGTTTTATCTTTTCTTTTGCTGGTGCTTTCTTCTGTGTCTAGACTTCGGCACTTCAGGACAGAGTGGGGTTTACTACAGAAGGAACACAGATGTCTGTATTTGCAGTTGACATGGATGCACTTGTCGGCATTGTAATTATTGCAAATTGGAATGCCTTGGTGGATGATGATTGCTCGTCCATGGCGATCAGTTCTTTTGTCCGACTGCCACCGTTGATCAGGAGCGTCATAGTGTGATGGCTGTGCTTTGGTAGCTTGAGAGGTAGAAACCAGGGAGCAGAACTGTGTAGAATGTCCAACATCGTGACAAAGTTGACATGCATTGAGTCGTCGTCCCGTGAATATTGTTCTGTATAACTCGTTATCCACTGTTCCCCAGTTGACTTTCCAGTTTTGCTGCTCCAGTAATGCTGCTGCCTTTGCCGAGAAACGCTTGTGGTACTGGTAGTACGTTAAATCTTGGTATTGTGCATGCATTTCAATGATGGTGCGCTGATATTTGTCCATCTCTTTCCTGCGTTGTGGCCAGCGACTAATCATGATGTCCTTATAGCGACCAAATGCAATGATGAAGTTACCAATTGTTAATGGCTGCCGCAATCTTGAATCCCCATTGTTAGACCCCTTAAGAAGCAAGTCCATGTCATCTACATGTATAGTTTTGGACGGAGTAGAAAGATCATCTGGCATAAGCAGAAGAGCTAAGTTGATATCTCTACCTTCACATATTTGGCGCCGGAGTGTAGTTGAGACCACTTCCACCTCAGGTGTAGTACCATCCAAGATTTGTTGTGGCAAAGCTGGGAAGTTACCTTCGGGCTCCACTGCGAAGGGGTCGTCTTTGGCAAATCTGGCCGTGTATAAGCCATAACCATGGTGAGGGCAGGATGGTGGGTCCATGATGAAATGTTCAGGCACTGAGAAATTTGGTTGTGGCTGCTGTAGGGGTTGTTGTGGTGGTGGAGGTTGTGACAGTTGTGTGATCTGCTGACGTTGCACATGCGTTTGTAGGTTTTCCACTGTCTGTTTCAGTGACTGAAATGCGATCATAATGTCTGAAAGGTTAACACTGGACTGGGGGGGGATGTCCGGAGGAAGCTCTTGAGAGTTTCTGTCATTATCTGGGATGTTGTCACTCCCGGATGGCTGGTTGTGCAGAAGGTGAAAATTGTCAGTATAAAACTGCTGGTATTGTTGTCGGGTCAGGCCTGATGGAGCTGTGATGTTGAGTATGTTTTTGATATAGCTGCAGATATGGGGCAGTGACCAGTTCCTAGGGAATGTCTGGTATGGACGTTGATCTCTTCTGTCATTGCTTCTTACTGTAGCCGGCCTCTCTGTCGCACGACTCGGGACTGAAGACTGGAATGTTGTGGAAGCCCCTGGTATTCTTACATTCTCCGCGTGAAGAATTTCCCCTGTATCAGCAATCCGGAGATCGACATGAGATTCTGCGTTACCCGATCGCCCCGGGGTGGCTGACTTCCTAGATGACCTGGGTGTCTTTTCACGTCTCACAGGTGGCATTCTCACTGTGAAGCACAGCTATGCTAATTTCAACTCGAGTAACACGCCCGGAGAGTCAGGATGGTTACGATTAAAAACTGCTTGTCATTGTTTACAACTGATAACAATTGCTGCTGACCTGTACCCACTGCGCATGCGTGGGAGGAAGGCTTGTAAGCTTCCTGAGAGGAAACTCATGTCTGCGCATGCTCCTGTCAAACTTCCTTCCTGTCAAAACAAATAGTTACGACTACGATGACTGTGGCTGTTGTAGGCACAAGCCGTTGTCTAAGCAATAAACTGGAAAGGTTAAGAGTGCATTTGGGAAGGGATTTATGTAGCTGGTACAAGCTAGGTCAGCATGACCTGCATAAATATGTACGTAGCACCACCTTGTCGTACTCAGTGTCACCAATGTGTGATGAGCAAATTGTAGCTAACCGCAGCATAGCACACATATACCAACAAATTAAACATAAGTAAAGTAATACATGCAAGTAGCAAGAATAATACATGGTTGTTTTAATGTCGTTATAAATGTGCTCATAGTACCGAAGAGCTATAAATAGTCTTTAATTGGTCTTGCTTAATGTTTTGAGAGTATTGATGTGAAAGCCTAGTGATAGGGAAAGGCGCTTACCTTACAGTGTAAGCTTGGTGAAGGGGAGATCGAGATCGTATTAGCTTCTGTGGTTTTCGTCCGTTCGGTCGGCTGTCTAGTCTCAATCTGTCGATTGTCACCTGTCAGATTTGGCGGGTAAGTTGATCATGTGCCTCGATCACACCCGGAAACATACGAGTAACATCGGGTGGCCAATCCGATGTAACCCAATGTACGAGTGTGGAAGCACCAATCACTACATTCCTCCCTCTTTTCTGGACTTGCCCCCCCTTGTGGTCTCAGGAGGACATGGAGGATCTAACAGGTGACCTTGCCAAAACATGAGAAAATCCCTGCAGGGTTGGGCAGCAGTTTTGTGCTATCAACCGAGACAGTTCGCGTAACTCATGGTTAAGATTAGTTATACGCCTTAAATAAGAAAATCCCCAACCAGATTGTTTGGTGGCAACCGAGTTGGTTCACGTAACTTAAATAGACGACAAAGCTGCTATGAGAATCCTAGAATCTAGACCGGATCGTCGGACTCAGTTCCAGTCCTGACCAAGTCAGATTAGGACAATGTTTCTATGAGAATCCTAGAATCTAGACCGGATCGGTGGACTCAGTTCCAGTCCTGACCAAGTCAGATTAGGACAATGTTTCTATGAGAATCCTAGAATCTAGACCGGATCGGTGGACTCAGTTCCAGTCCTGACCAAGTCAGATTCAGAAATCCCATTCATCTGGCGTGAATAATTATACTCTGTAGAGCTGCCTTGCGTTGACATAAGCACGCTCCAGGATGTTGGCGGTGGTACTCTGTCGGGCAGCAGCCACCATAGCTGCAACTTCACCCAGTAGTCTTGGGCTGTTAACTCCTCGGCGACCTGGGCGAGGCCACAGATATGGGGCATCAGTCTCCAGAAGGAAGCGCTTGGCATTAAGGAACCGCAATGCTGATAGTTGATGGTCATCAAAGCTGGCCATCATCCCGGAGTATCAAAACCACGTCTCAGGGAAGTGCTTGGTCCACAGTGCCACTTCTTTAAATGACCCAGAGAAACAATGGAGATGGAATCTCTGGGTGGACGGTACTCCAGCAGCCTTGGCAATTTGTAGGCATTCCTGTAGTGGAGCCTGTTGATAAGTGTCTGCGGTAGTGCCCCTGAGGTGGAGGATGATTGGCTTGGTTGATGGTGCCAACTTGAAGAGCTGCCCTAGGACTTGCCCTTGCCGTTCCCAGTTTCCCACAGTGAAGTCCAGGCCAATTTCCCCGAAGGCGATTACATCCTGGGATGATAGCAGGTGCCTTAACTTGTCTAGTTGGTCGGGGTCCATGGCCTGCACAATCTTTGGGTGGAAACCGACAGCTGTCTTCCAACACTGATGGAAAGTTGGTTGTTGGGGCCAGGTTGGTGGGTCGCAAAAGATCTGTAGCTCCTGATGAAGGTTGATGGTTACCTCTTTTGGCTGGCCGGCCTTGTCCAGAACCTCTTCCAGGGGTGTGGCAGCGTCCAGATGGAGCCTGCTGCGCATCCTATCGGAGTGGAAATGGGTGTCAAAACCCCTGGGAAGTCTCTCTGGATTCGGCGGCGCTGAGGATGGAGTCGGTCGAGTGGACGTTCCGGGAAGCTCTGCTGTTTGCGTGGCTTGCACAGATGGCGATGGTCCTGGCAGTGGCAGAAGGTTCCCGAAGTTCCTGAAATGGTTTCGGACTCCATCCGAGGTGACATCCAGAAGGGCTACCAAGATCCTCCAATGTATTAGGCAGGCAGGGCTATCTGGCGACAGGTTGACAGAATCCAATGGTAACGGCCATCCTTTGATGTTACACAACTCTTTTATATGCCCGTAGCAGCTTCCTCTTAGGGGTATGTCTTTGGGAACAAGGCTATTCCTTAGGACGAACTGGTGTAATTCCGTCCAGGTAGCTCCTGCTCCCAAGATCTGCTGGGCAAGGTCTTCTATGGCCGATATCATGTCAACTGCCGTTTCTTGTGATGCTGCTACGGAGTCACAGAAACAGGGGGTGAGGTGAGCTCCGTAGGCATGGTGGCGCAGCGTCCTGGTTCTTTTACCGCACGTCCGTATTGGACAGCTCGATCCCATTCCGTGGGGATGACTACTCTGGAATCGAGCTGCTATTTTCGGGGCGGCCTTGTTAATGACAGAGACGCTCAGCCCTTGGTTGATTGACCTGACCTGTCGTGAGGGAGAAGCCTGGTGCCTTGGCTCTGGGGCTTGCCTCCTTGACATAGGGCGTCGATCCCGTCTGGGGGAGACATGTCGCTCCTGCCTGGGAACTTCCCGTCTTGGGATATGTCTATGGGGCAAAGGTTGTCGTTCCCGTCTTGGAGAGACATGTCGCCGGGGTGAAGAGCGCCGTTCCTTTCTGGAAGCGGCTCGTCTTACAGGGGAGGAGTGCTGCCTGTGTCTTGCAGTGTTGTAGTACACAGACACCTGACGCCGGGGTGATCGCCTGGGTGATTGCCGGCGCGATTGTCGGTAAGACGGGCGTGGTTGGACTTTTCGCTCCCGGCTGGCAACAGGAAGATAGACGACAGAGGCCACCTGCCGTCTATCCGGGCTCTGGCAGGCTCGCTTCCTGGAAGATATGATGTGATCCTCAGGGCTTCTTTTCCTTGAGTGTGCGGCCTGGAGCTGGTATCCACTATCCTTGGATGTCTTGGATAGGTCTGGTACATGTCCCAGGGATACTCGGTTGATCTGACATTGATCGTTCATGATAAGGGGGGAGGGGACCTTCTTCCGGGAGATG